AGAGAAGACTTTTGATGAACTACTGCAGTGCCATTGTCTATAAAATAAACTCTATATGGGTTCACCAGTATACTAGCACACTTGATGTATATTGAAACAGTGCCATTATTTGAACGCTACGCTAAAAAATTATAAGATCAACAAAACATGTGCGTATTTCCTTTCACCTTTCCTTTTCCTTACAATATTTCATCAAAAATATTTTCGGGTGACAAGGCATCTGCATTTTGATTTGTAATCGAGGATAGATGTAGATGTCTATGGGCCACAGTAACCACTTACCATCAGGTGGACTGTGTGCTCGTTTGTCGCCTTATCCTATAAAAAAATATAGCCGACAAATGGTTTTACAAATACAGTAAAATGAATGTACATACAGCATGTATATACAGCTTTACGCATTACAATAACTCACGTGTATTTGATTAAAGAGCTATTAGCTGTACAACAGAACTCAGTTGATCTGTAAAACTGCAAGCATTACATTTACTCACATTTACGCTGTTCAGCGGTACTAGGCTTCTACTTAACACTTAACCTCTCAACCCCCCATGAGACCGCGGCCATATTCCGTCAAATCCCTAGCGGTCTCATGAGGTCGCACCCACTCACAGCACTTTAACCCATAAAAACTTATATATAGAGACTACTTTTCTATGAAGAAGTTTGGCATTATATATCATTACAGCCCTTCACAAGTCCACTGCTGAACATAGGCCTCCCCCAAGTAATGCCACAAAACACGGTCCTGAGCCACCTGCATCCATCGGCTTCCTGCATGTCTTACCAGGTCGTCACTCCATCTAGTGGGGAGTCGCCCTACACGTACGAGGCTGCCACTCGAGAACCTTTCTTCCCCATCGGTTATCGGTTCTTCGAGCTATGTGGCCGGCCCATTGCCACTTGAGCTTACTAATCCGTTGGGCTATGTCGGTCACTCTGGTTCTACTGCGGATATCCTCATTTCTGAGTCTATCACGCAGGGAAACTCCGAGCATAGCCCTCTCCATGGCTCGCTGAGCGACCTTGAGCATCCTCATACGGCCAGCACTGAATGACCAAGTCAGATCCGTAAGTCATCACTGGCAGCACGCACTGGTTGTACACTTTAGTCTTCAGAGATTGAGGTATACCTGATGAAAAGATGTGTCGTAATTTCCCGAGCGCTGCCCAGCCGAGTTGAATCCGTCGATTGACCTCTCGGTCGAAGTTGGACTTACCTAGTATGGCTATTTGTCCCAGGTAAACGTACTCGTCAACAACTTCGAGCATAGTGCTCCCAACAACTACCGGCATAGGTGTGACATGGACATTTAACATGATCTTTGTTTTGTCCATGTTCATCTTAAGACCTATCCGTTGAGAGACACCATTGAGGTCATTGAGTATAGTGCTAAGGTACTCCAGCGATTCTGCCATAAGGAATATATAGTCGGCAAATCGAAGGTGAGTGATGTACTCGCCATTGATGTTAATACCGAATCCCTTTCCATTCCAGTAGCTTGAAAACGTCTTCCAACGCAGCGGTGAAGAGTTTCGGGGATATAACGTCACCCTGTCTTACACCTCTCTGCAGTTGGATAGGTTTCGAACTCTGGTTCTGTACTTGGATAGCCATCGTAGCCCTACTGTACAAACACTTCAGCACTTCGATATACCGACAGTCAACTTGGCACCGCTGAAGGGACTGTAGCACTGCCCAAATTTCGACGGAATCAAAGGCTTTCTCATAGTCCACATATGCCAGGCAAAGTGGCAGATTGTACTCTTCGGTCTTCTGTACAATCTGCCGCAGGGTAATGAATGTGGTCTATGGTACTGAAGCCTTTTCGGAAACCGGCTTGTTCGGGAGGCTAGAATTCGTCGAGTTTGCGTGCGAGACGATTCGTAATGACTCTCGAAAACAGCACGTAGACGCGGCTCAGAAGGAAAATCGGTCTGTAGTTCTTTAAGAGAGCGTTGTCGCCTTTCTTAAAGAACAAGAGTACCGCAATTCTGCTCCACGCCTCCGGAGTAGTGCCACCATGGAGGACGGAATTAAAGAGCTTCTGAAGAACTTCAAGTACCGGTGTTCCACCCGCTTTCAGAAGCTCCGCTGTAATTCCATCCTCGTTCCTCGCCTGGGGCCCTGCCGTTTTTAAGGTGCTGGAGAGCCATTCTAATCTCGCTCAGACTGACGTCCGGGATATCATCGGAATAGTGTCGGATAAGACTTGCTCTCTGCTAAAATGCTAAGACTCACACTTGCGTGTGGCTCCAACGATGATGTGTACAGCTGCCCATAGAACCTCTCAATCTCACTCAAAATCTCAGGTGTCCCGGAAACAATGATGCCACAATCAGTCTTCAGCTTTAACAGTTGGCTCTTTCTGGCAGACAGATCTCTGGCAAAGACTTTGGAGCCCTGGTTCCGCTCGATCGCTTCTTTAATACGAGCAGTATTAAAGTTGCGTAAGTCTCGCCGCATGCATTTGGAGATCTGTCTGTTCAGTTGCCTGTATGCTGTCAATATCTGTATGACAATTTCAGCCTCATCTCCCGTCTAACAGCCATGAGATTAAGAGTGTGATCGGAGAGTTATTGTGTTCTTCTGCGGCGGGTCTTGCAAAACTTAGCTTCGACCGCATGGACAGTTTCCACGAGCTTGTCATTCATATCGTCCACTGCATTGCAATCTTCTAGGCACTGAAAGCGGTTACGTAACTCGATGTGAAAGGTTTCGGGATTCTGGATTAGAGCACGAGGGGGACGGAGCGTTGACTTCATTAGACGTGACCTCTCCAACCTAACGTTTAGGTTCAGTGTGCCTCTAACCATTCGGTGATCGCTGCCAGTTTTCATCCTTACGATCACTGAGACATCACTGAACAGTTGGCGTCTGGTCGTCATAATGAAGTCAATCTGATTTTTTGTCGAACCGTCGGGGCTCGACCAGGTCCACTTCCTGTGGGGCCGCTTCTGGAAGAAAGAGTTCATCATAAAGAGTCCCTCTTTCTCCATAAAGTAGGCCAGCTGCTGACCCCTTCGGTTCCGTTGCCCTACTCCAAATTTCCCTATTTCAGCTCACCGTTTTCTCTTGTGCCTAGTTTTACGTTGAAGTCTGCCATCAACACCGTGTAGTGGGTTTTGGAGGAATGCATGGTTCTGGAAATATCCTCATACATTTCCTCAACCTCTTCATCGGGATGTGCCGAGATTGGTGCGTAAACCTGTATGACCTTCAGCGAATACCGTTTGGTGATTCTGAGTATCAGGTACGCGACGCTCGTCGACACACTCCCAATCTTTACAACGTTATTGACGAGACTTGTGGACGATAAATCCGATACCTCCTTGGGACAGATGGTCGCCCTCCCGGTGATAGAACAAGTTGTGTTGTAGTGAGCCGGACTCGAAGATTACCGTGTCCTCTCCCTCTCTTCGGACCTCGGATAATTCAATAATATGCCAGCGCAACTTGTCTATCTCTTCTTCCAGCTCCAGTATCTTCTCGTCAGTCCTCAGGGTGTGTGCGTTATATTTTGCCAGGTCGAGTAGTCGTAGGTGGCAATCGAACCTCCACCGCAGATTCTTAGCACCCCTTGCCCCGCCGTTACCATGGTCACCACCATAGCCAGGAATAGCGGGGCCGCCGGGGACTGGGGGCCGTTTGTTTGCGTCGTTATTCATGGTCGTCGTTATTTCACGCTTGGCAAGCGGGTTGGCAACCGCAGTTTTTTTATTTTATCACTGTTGTTATCAGGAAGATGCTGCTGCCTATCTCTTGCCTGTCGCCCTCTGTCGCCTCTTACGACACCCACGGGAAGATATGGGGTAGTGGATATTCTCAACCGCCACTACACGGCATTATATAATCAATATGAAATAGTCTATACTATAGTGCAATAAAAAAACTGTTATCCTATGAATATTTATTTACTACGTCCATTTCGTACGCCATTTTCGCGTGAATGTTATTGTGTTGATTTTTGGATTTTTCTAGTGTTTTATTATAAACTTGTAATGAAATGTTATGTGTGAATTTAATTTTACTTTACACGTAAATAATTTCGAGTAATATATATTAAAATAATTGTGATTTTCACGCGGCCGACATTCGCTTGGTATGGTTTTTTTTTGCTATCAAAATACAATAAAATCTTTTTGTAATGAAGTAAAACCTGACTTTTGTTTAGATCACAAGATATTTTATAATAATATAAATTTTATAATGCTAAACTTCTTCATAGAAAAGTAGTCTTTATATATAAGTTTTAATGGTTTTAAGTGCTGTGGGCGGGTACGGTCGCTTGCGACTGCTCGGGATTTGCCGGGCGCATGCCACTGCATGGGATTTTTAAGGCGCGCGGAGGGTTAAAAGTGCTATTACACAACAAAGAGCACTAAAACCAGCTCAAAGCTGTATAACGGACTTTCGGTGCATTATAATGGTACAAGTTTATGCTATTAAGCACTATTAGGCATTATCTTACTACTTATAAATGCTATTGTATATCCTAAGGCACTAAAAACAGTTAGAACTATATAGCGGATTTACGTGGCATTGTAATGGTTCATGTTTATGCATACCCAGCATAAAGTATTTATTTACTACTTAAAATGCTATTGTAGATCCAAATGCACTAAAAACAGCTGAAAGCTTTACAGCTGTGTTGCGGTTTGCTGCACCAGAACTAAAGCATTTTGATATGCCTTTATCCAACCGTTATACTTACACTGTAAAGTAAAGCATCATAATGGTTTCAAAATCCATTATAAAGCGTCAAGTTGCTCGGTGAACTTGTACAAAAGTTTATACGGACCTTAAGTTCTACATGTTTACTATTCGTTTGTTAAAATACTTCCTGTGTTACCAGGGAATTGTATTACAAACCTGATTGTAACCTCCATGTTAATCATTAACACTTTTCTTAAATAAATATGGAAAATATTAAATGTCATATGTGACGTTGTTTTAGCGGTTACCTAATATTTTCTCTCCGTAATAATTTCAAGTAGAAATGGACGAACAGTTTGCAAAACTAATAAAAGCAGGCAAAAACACTCTCGATGGTCTAATTCAATGGATGAAAGATGGTAATATTTAGAAGCTACTTTTTACATTTAGACATATCATTAGTAGGTTGTAGATATATCACGGTTGTATAAGTGTATATATAATAATATATAATATATATAATAATATCGGTATGGGCGATAGATTTTAACTCGGCATTTAAAAAAAGTATAATTTTCTCAAGGATAACACCTATCTAGATAGACTTGCAAAGTTAAACATTATCTAAATACAAAATTAGGTAGGTCCATATAAATCGTTGGATCATTTTCCAAAATCCCAATTACATATTTTAAATAAATAAATGTTTACATATAAACAAATTACTTAACCTTAATTAAATTTAGGCAAACGGAGTTGACTCACCTTTTGCTTACATGGAACTAAGATCACATGAAGCGCTGGTTTTCGGGCACTCCTTAATCCCTGAGATGTTACATGGGTGTTATGAGAATTTCGAGTTCCCTAATCACCTCTATCATTTACTCATCTATATTATTGGAATTTAACATAGTATGGTTGTGAAATTTAGTGTGTAGTGTAGTTGTGAAAATACATGGGGATGATTTTAAGGGTTATATTAAAATGTTAAAAAAGTCTCTTAAGTTTATGTATTTCCAGTAGGCATGTTTCAAATTTTCTGCAGCAATTTGCCGCTTCATATTTACATATATTTATGATATATTTACATATTACGTACAAGAAATGGGTACTTTTTAAAGAGTAGCCAAATTTTAAACTTAACTTCAGATATATTAATAAGTTAATAATAATAATAATCAAATATGGTATAAGTTAATAATAATAAATAAGATATTTATGAATGAAAATTAGGTAAAATAATTTAAATAATGCATTACCCCACGCTTTTTAAAACTAAAAGATAAAAATGGACAGAATAGGTTTGTGAGATTATTTAAATTAATTTTTCTTCATTATTTGCCTATATTACTTATTTTGAACCTTCTCTGCAAATTTGGCCTGTTATTGCAAAATAACCCTGGATAGATAAACTTTATAAAGTGAGTTATACAAGAGCAGTTTATTAAAGCTTTAAACAATACACTTATTTAATTAATAATTTAAAGCGTTTTCATAACACATAGATGTTCATAATACATCATCTAGGTGTTTGTGGTGGATGGAGAGGTGAATGAACTGTGTTTAAATTTATTTACTTTGCTTTTGTGATAAGAGAAGACTAAGGAAGAGAGCTAATCTATCTAAAACTGACTGACTTTATTATTTACTTTAACTGACTGAGAAACTAAACTATGCTAGGGACGTTAATTAAAAGGTGTTACGAAAACTAATATAAATTTATTATCGTATTTACAATACTTATTGCGGCAGAACTTTAATCTAATTTACTACACTATTCTATGCCTAATTCTTAGTTCTAATACGGAGCTTGAGGGATCTTCCTTCTTGATGCTTACTAGAGCGTTTGTCTGCCGCGAATGCAGAATGCCGGTTTTTTTACGCCTAGAAGCAAACTAAAGGGCTACGCTCCGGGAAGCGGGGGATGGAGGGTAATGCTCTCAGCATACCACGCCGGCTGTGTGGGACTCACTATGAAAACCTAAGTGCCTACCCACTAAACACCACCTGAGACTGGCTTTGGCCTGGAGGGCCTTTCTGCCGTATCTTAAGCGACCCCCTTGGGAAAAGTGGGCGCAGGGCAGAATGCGGGCCGGGGGCTCCAGTTTTATTCCCGTCGCTGGAGTCGCATGGGGGCCGAGTTTCGTTTTAACTCGCGGGGGGGATCGCGCTCTGATTGGTCGCGCGTCCCGTCGCTTCGCTTTTTAGTGCAGGGTGCGAGTGACGTGTCGATGCGGTGTGAGGTGCGCGGGGTGGCTCCCTTCGTCGTCCGTAACAGTGTTATTATTTTTTCTTCCTAGCTCTATAAAACTTGAAAAGAAACAGACAGTATTATACCTATAGTCGTATATACAGGTTGGTCCAAACAGTGAGGTTATAAAATTTTTTTTTGATTCCTCACTCCTAGGGGTATCCGAAAATAGCGAGTTATGATTTTTTTACCCTTTTTTTTTGAAAATATTCACCCTAAACAGCTTAACATTAAAAAAAATGTAATTGTGAAATTTTTTCCAATTTTTTTTTGTTTGTAGCATGATCCTTATGAGTTGCCCTATTATGAATAAAATAATTAGCTTCCTAACATTCACCTAAGATACAATAATTTTAATCGAACCTTAAAAATTTTCTGTCAGGAGAGTGGGGCTTGAATTTTCAACATTAAATGAAAAATAGTAATAAATGATTTCATACTTTCTAATTAATTTTAAAAACTTTGCAGTACCTTAATCTTTCATAATAACAATAAAAAAGTGACACTTAATAGGCCAGTTTTTCTGTTACAGACTTCTGAAGTCACTCAGGCAGGAAACTACCTGAATAGTTAATTTGATTTAAAAAATCTTTTTATCATTTCTAGGGCTAAACTAAGATAGTAAATGCTTCAGGTTAGCAAAAATAACACCAAGTGTCTTTACTTATTGTTTAAAATTTATAGACAACAAGGTATCATTTTACTACGTTCTGGAACAAATGATTTCAAGATTCATAATAAAAGTAGTAAATAATTTAAGATAAATTTATTTGAAGTAAATTTTCGAAATGGCGGCCATTAACTTCGATACACAGTCTACATCGTCTTAAAAAATTGCTTTTAGTCTTCGAAAAGCATTCGTATTTTCTTTGATTTTTTCTGCGCACTGTCTCAATTTTTCCCTTAATTCATTTTCCGAATTAATTTTTCTAGCATACACAATCTCTTTGTAGAATCCCCAAATAAAAAAATCTATAGGGTTTAAATCTGGTGAGCGTGCAGGCCATTCGATTGGCCCTGCACGCCCAATCCACCTTCCTGGGAAAGTTCTGTTGAGGTGCTCCCTCACTTGTCTTTCAAAATGGCAAGGAACACCGTCATTTTGAAATATCATATCCCTCCTCGTTTGTAAATTAACTTCAAACAATAAACCATTTAAATTATTTTGTAGAAAATTCAGGTACTGGGACCCGTTCAACCTAGACGACAATTCAAAGGGCCCAACCATTTCTCCATTTATGACTCCTGACCACATGTTGATACTAAATCTATTCTGAAAATTTGACTGCCTTGCTTTTTTTGGGTTTTCAATGGCCCAGCTATGATGATTGTGAATTTAAAGACGCCAGTCCTTTCAAACCGGGATTCATCCGTCCAGAGTATCTTGTTAAAAAAATCCGGGTCTTCCGCAGATCTTTCCAGCATTATTTGGCAGAAAGCAACACGCCTTGGATAGTCTGCGTCGTTAAGTTGTTGAACACGCTGAATATGATACGCGTGATATCCCTCTGGAAAAAAAAGATTAGTATTTTTATTGTAGGTTGTCATTGTACACAATACTAGAGGTACGTACCAATAGAGCACGTGAACGTGAAACTAAAAGTTGGGATTCGCTAGAGTGGCGTCCTAGCGCCTATTTTTGAATTACGAGCGCTTGTTTAAGGGTCTCTACATCTCTCTCTTTTACACGCACACACAACACATTAGACATAGACAATTCACAGTAAATTAAATGAGTGTGATTTGAAATGGCAGTGCAGCAATGTGTTGGGATTTTGAATAAAGAGGTCTACAAAATAATAAAATGCACTCACCTGATTTCAGTATTCTTACAACTGAAGTCCTTGGGATTCCAGTCCTTCTCGTAATCGCTCGTGAACTAAAAACTAGTAGAACGGTCTCTTTCTACTTCTTCAATGATTACATCTCTTCTTTCTGGATCCACTCTGGGTAGTCCCTCGCGACGTTGATTACGCCCAGGAACGCGTCCAGCCATAAGGGTTTCGTGGGTCTTATTAAAAACCCTGTAGCCCGGGTAATGCTCTAACACTTCTCCTCGCCGCTCTAGTTGCTCTCGATAAAGCCGTGCCGCTAATGCACCGTTTCCTTGGGCAACGCCGTAGAAATAGTGCATCTCTGCGTATTGACTGAGAGAATAACTCATTGCTAAAAGTAATCCAAATCACTAAGCAACTCAAGGTCCATAAAACAAGCACAGGTCAATCGTAAGGCAAATCAAGAATCCGGGAAACAAAGCGAAGGTAGTCAAATAAGAGATCCAAATAAACGTAAACGTGAGTAGTGGTTGCACGCGGGAAAGCAGTGAACGACTGGCGGGACCGAGCGAGGTGAAAAAGGGACGCGGTCGGTGTGGTGCGGGGCGCGGGGTGCGGCCTGGTAACAAAATAGAGCGCAAAGCAGGAATGTTTACCTGAGCCTTTGTTTAAAATTCCTTTGTGTGTTTGTGACTGAATGTGCTATCATTTAGTTTCAGTGAAATAAAAAAAACATGTAGTTTGTAGTAAAATGATACCTTAATAAATGCCACTTTTTAACAATAAGTAGTTTTCTTTGCTAACCTGAAGCATTTACTATCTTAGTTTAGCCCTAGAAATGATAAAAAGATTTTTTAAATCAAATTAACTATTTAGGTAGTTTCCTTCCTGAGTAACTTCAGAAGTCTGTAACAGAAAAACTGGCCTATTAAGTGTCATTTTTTTAATGTTATTATGAAATATTAAGGTACTGCAAAGTTTTTAAAATTAATTAGAAAGTATGAAATCATTTATTACTATTTTTCATTTAATGTTGAAAATTCAAGCCCCACTCTCCTGACAGAAAATTTTTAAGTTTCGTTTAAAATTATTGTATCTTCGGTTAATGTTAGGAAGCTAATTATTTTATGCATAATAGGGCAACTCATAAGGATCATGCTACAAACAAAAAAACTTGGAAAAAATTTAACAATTACATTTTCTTTAATGTTAAGCTGTTTAGGGTGAATATTTTCAAAAAAAGGGTAAAAAAAAATCATAACTCGAAAACTACAAAAAATCGCGTAACATACATAGGGTATTTTCGGATACCCCTAGGTGTGAGGAATCAAAAAAAAAATTTATAACCTCACTGTTTGGACCATCCTGTATATACCGTAACTGTGCCAGCCTAACAAAAGTCCCCTGCTGAATATAGGACGCCCCCATAAATTGCTTAACCCTAACCCTAGGGGGGGGGGGTATATTTTCAATAGTTGCTTGACAAGCGTATTGGCAAAAGAATTTATTAAGAAGATGGTTTTTTTTAATAGAATAAGAGTGACAAAGAGCGCACAGTCCACCTTATGGTAAGTGGATGTTGTGGCCTATAGACATCTACATTTACCTTCAATTAAGATTCAAAATGCAGATGCGTTATTACCCGTGAGGACTGAGACGGAATCGCACGGCGTCCTGCCTCAACAGAGGCTAGCCATCGGCGCAGGACAGGATTATAGTGCCCAAGTGTATGCGCAAGCACAGGTGCACTCTCTATTCCCTCACTCTCACAATCCGGTGGGACAATAAACTGATACGACCGCAGAGAGATCAGGCGCAGGACCAATGGCTTTACGTGCTTTCCGAGGCACGGGGGTGAGACACCACCAACTTCCTGAATCCGGAAGAGAATTTCTTGACGGAAAAACTCAATAATTATTTTTTTAGCCCGACCCGGAATTCGAACTCAGAATCTCATTATCAGCAGAGTCGCACTACTACAACCACTAGACAAACGAGGCAGTTATTTAAATATATATATATATATATATATATATATATATATATATATATATATATATATATATATATATATACCTTAATGGTGTTGTGTTTCGTATGGTGATTGTAGAGAACCGGAGACCCTTTTTACTGGAAACGAGGCATTCGATCTCAGTACTCAGGGGTGACAACGCATCTGCATTTTGAATCTTAATTGAAGGGGAATTGCAGATGTCTATGGGCCATAGCATCCACTTACCATAACGTGGACTGTATGCTCTTAGTCACTCTTGTGCTATAAAAAAATATAAGTCACATAGTATAATAGTAATATAATGCTGCCTCTCTTTTAGTGTGTGTCCCATTGTTTCCTGTTACGACACCCACTTGACATTATAGAGCAAAAGATATTCATACACCGTCACTATATGGGAATATGATTTAAGATAATAATAAAAAATAACGCTTATTTTATAAGTAGGTTTAAGTGAAAATCAATCTGTATTAAAATAATTAAAAACAATAATTTTCACACAGCTAAAATCATTGACGGAATCAAAGTGACGGAGCAGAAAGCGCGTGAAGTGTTCTCCGAGACCACCGATCCCAAGAACGTCAACTTGGACAAGTTCAAAGAGGCCTTGACTAAGCTGGCTGCGGATCAAAAGAAGAGTGTGGAGGAGTTCTCTAAGACTTTAGCAGATGAAGCACCCAAATTTATAGATGCACTGACGGCTAGAGCTAGCACTTTAAAAGACGCAATATCGAAAAAGTGAATAAATATTTCGTATATGGTGCCTTTATTTCTTGCGTTTACTGTATAAAATAAAGGAATTCTTACTCTTCTATTCATTTATTTATTTCGAAAATTATTTAATTAACATATTGTGCCTCTCAACCATTTGGACCACTTTCTTGATTAAATAAATGTCGATAACTATCTTTTTTATAGGATAAGGGTGACATACGAGCAAACAGTCCACCTGATGGTAAGTGGTTGCTGTGGCCTATAGACTTCTACATCTATCCTCGATTACGAATCTCTACACTCACCATATAAAACACAGCAGTATTAAGCTATTATTTGACGCTGGTATTCTGTGAGAGTGTGGTCCTTCCCCGTTGAGCCGACCCGTTCGTGCTACAACTATACTACTAACACAACTGCAGCATGGCTCTACCATGTAAAGCCTTCTTTAGGCACGTTGGGCACTTTTGGGGTGGGGGAAGAAGCACCGAACTCGCGGGGTTATTCCATTTAACCACCCTAGGGTGGATACTCGCAAAACGCGTGTTCACCTACACCCCGTATGGGGTGGATAATCAGAATTTACTTTTATGTGTTCTTCCGACTTATTACACCAAGTACAGTTCAACACATACACTAACTATTAATTAATTTTTAATAACAACAAACTTAATCAAGAACATATTATTACGTATTACCGTAAGAGAAAAAATTAAAGAAATAAACGTATTAACTTTGGTATTGCAATATATTTGTGAAAATGTAATGTATGTACATACGAGTGCCGCCGCACTGAAAATTTCGGGAATCAAGAAGTGACACAACATTACTATTTAAAAGTGTATTTATTGCTTTTTGAAGTAATCTCCGCAAAATTTGACACATTTTTCCATACGACGGAACCAATCATTGAAGCAACCATTCCATTCGGAAGTTGGGGTTTCCAAAATGGCCGTTTTGTAGGCGTCCACAACTTCTTCAGGTGATGAATGTTCTCAGAGAATGATGATCTCTGTCCACGCAATTTATTCTTTATTTTAGGGAAAATATAGAAATCATTAGGGCTTAGGTCGAGTCTGTACGGCGGATGGTCTAATAATTCTATGTTTTCTTGCTCTAAAAACTCTTTTGTTCTGTGTGCGGTGTGAGAACTCGCATTGTCGTGATGGAGGATAATGCGGCAGTTCTCTTTATGAAGTTCAGAAACGACCAAACAAATGCTAGCATACCATTCTTTGTCCCTCAAGAGGAATAGTCGTAACATGGCCGGTTTTGGAGACAAACGTGGCCACCATTTTTTTTGCAACACTCCGTGAACGAACAATTTTTGTTGGCTTTAACTCATTTTCGAACACCCAAACTCGTCACTGGTTTTTTGTTTCGGGTTCGTACGCATATATCCAGGATTCGTCACCTGATACGATGTTGTATACAGCATTTGAGGATCATGCGTGGAATCTTTCGAGAGTTCTGACGCACCAAGTAACGCGAGCCGCTTTTTGCTCTTCACAGAGCGAATGCGGTATCCATCGGGAAAACAACTTTTTTACACCTACTTGTTCATGCAAGATTATTTGTATTTGACTCATGCCAATGTCTAAAGTTGCCTGAATTTCGCGGTATGTCACATGTCGATCTTCCTCAATCAGCTTACGCACAGCATCCACGTTTTCTTGGCTGACTGCAGTTTTTGGGCGACCTTGACGGGGATCATCACTGAGCTTGACACGTCCACGTTGAAGTTCAGCAAACCAGCGATAAATTGTGGTTTTGGATGGGGCTTCATCACCAAATGCAGTAATCATCCGGTCAACACACTGTTTTTGTGTTAAACCACTTCGAAAGTCATAATAAATCATCGCTTTTGAATTTTCTCAGACAATTCCATTTTCTCAACGGCTAAACAAGTTTGACAAAACCTTGTGACAAGACCGAGAATCTTTTTTTAAATAAATAAATGGTATTCGATTTTTAAAACCAAGGAGTTTTCAATTAAAAAGATTTTAATATGACAGGAACAGTGGAAATATTCCATTCCCGATACTTTTAGTGCAGCCTAGGTAAAATATAGACTTCATAAGTATAAATAAAAATTAATTCAATAATTATACAAAATAAATTATTGTAAAGTGACAATGTTTTAAAAAACTCCCGTCGGGTTTCTTGCTGGTTCTTCTCAGGGCAGAGCTTTTGTCCGAACTAGAGGTAAATAAAAAAAAAATACTTTCAATTAGTAGGTATTTTGCAATTTTCTATATAGACTCATTCGTTTCATTTCATTTCATAAAGTTTAAAGTACAACACTTATCAAGCAAGACTTAGCAAATCTAAGAACATCTGTCATACATCAGTTTATGAAGCCACGAATATTTTTCATCGAGATCGCGAGACCAATACGATATAAAAAGATAAGAAAAAAGAGACGAGAACAAAAACAACAGCTTCATGTTAATTTTTATTGTGTCATTTTGTACAATAAAATACACCAAGTAATACGCACAGCGCTTAAAGCAACAAATATATTCTCAATAAAACTATAAAATGGAATAGTTTGCAAATTGGGTTTCGAAAACGAGTTACATTTACGTTATGAACTTTGATTGTTGTCAGGCCAGCCAAAATGGCAGCAATCATCCGCCATTGTCGATTTTTGGAAGTCGCATAATATTCTTTATGCCTAAATAATAACGACATCTTTTAAATTATCAAAAATAAAACAGTATAAACTGACAAGTATTGCTTGGTAACTTAAAGTAAGCTTGCAAACATTTTTTTACTTTATAAATAAATACAATTTATAACTTTATAACATCTATAGGACAAACTGTACGTTCATATTTTTATCAAGATCAACGATAAGAGACCTTTTGCATATAAATAAATACTTAATACAAAATAAAAATGACGGTTATACAGATGGTGCAACGTTAAACACAATAAATGATACTAGCAATTTAATTTCAATTCAATTATTATAATTCACAAAAATAAAACAATCAGACATAAAGTAGTTTAGGCACAGGATATTTTTCGTTTTAGAAATTTTTACACAGTATATACACCGCTATTGTTGTAAAATTTGTTATATATTACGGTTTGCTCAAGTTGATAGGGGTCAATATACAGTGTCTTCAAAATAAAAAAAGCGGCCTAGCCATTTAAACGCTCTAACCCGACTTTCGTATAAAGGTGCAGCTTCCTTATATATACAACGTACTCTGTGGGTGCAGCCTACCGGCGCAGCGGCGCTCATAAGATAATGAGAGAATTATTGAATGACTGGGACGTTGCCGTTGTTAAGGGGAAAACTTTAACCCATTCCCTGCCCCGTGTACTACATAATGTACTTTATTGATATGGTCTTACTATTGTATCTGAAAATCGGAAAGTAAGTTTTCGTTTTTTTTTTTTTTGAAAATTTACCTTTCGACTGCCCCAGAAGTAGGGTAATATTTTTCGAGTGTATGTCTATTTCTTTGGCACGCTCTGTAACCTAAATCGTTTGATGGATCTTAACATATAGCATGTTGTAAAAATCGTCATCGTTGTAGAAGTGACATAGGTTATAAAACATTTCTGTTTTCAGTAAATCTTTTGACCAGTCGATTTTTTAAATTAATATTTTTATCTTTAGACCTGTTTAATTTTGTCATAAGATCAAAATTAACTGTTTCGAAATATTTTATCGAAACAATAATGCCCGAGTTTTCGTTTATTGTATTTAACGTAACGACATCCTGTATATCCCCCTAAGGATAATTAATAGAAGATATTATATTGATAGAAAGATAAATTGTCAATTAGAAGGGTAATAATGCAGGAAATTGTAACGGGGCGTTAACCTCTGATTAAAAACTATTGAACGAAACATGTAATAAGTGAACATAAGCATTAAATAAATTTCCTGTTAAATAAATGGTAGACCTAAGACAGTAAGCAAGTGCCCACGTTCGTGTCTTTTTAAATATAATAATAAATCATAATATTAATAAACATAATATGATACAAATCTATACTTTATAAATAATTCAGATCTGTTTTGAATCTCTGGCGATTTGGAATTAGAAGAACTGCATTATTAAAATAAATATATCGCAAGATAAGTCTTAAAATGGTTTATTTTATAGAGATCAATGACTATATTTTGGTATTATAAATTCCCATAAATTTAGTATAGATTACATTGTCACGAATAGGAGTTCATTAAAAATACAAACATGTAAAAAGCAATAGTGGTTTATTGTTTTTGATTTGATATATTATGTTATTTATTTTATCATCTATTAAGTAAGTAAAAGTGAGACAGTACACTCCATAAACAATCAAAATGTGAAAGATCCGGAAGGAGGAATAAAAACTGAACTGTTACACTTAAAGCAGGAATATTTAATCACAAATGCATCGGACTTTGTGGAATGATTTCAACTTGCTGTCCACATCAGTTGACAGGTAAAGTGGCGTGCATCATTGAGTTGTATATTGACTTTAACCCAATCAATGTCTAACTTGTGACCATTCAGTCCAGCCAAACGGTTTGCTTCGTCGTTCATAATCCTTACAGCAAAGTAGTGGAACATTTTGCTTTACCATTTTTGGCTGCATTACCACTTACCATCAGGTGGGATGGTGGTTAAGCACTGGCTTAAAAATCTTGTTACTAAGTGCTTAATGGAAAAGGTATCTTTCTAGAGAGCTGAGCAGCACACACGATGTTGCCACATATTTCTGACGTGACATGAAGAGGATTAACTTGCAACACCTGTGAAAACTCCTATCAAGCTAACAACTATCATCCCAAGGGACTCTAATGGAAAAACAATAATATTATAATTCAAAATTGACACCATTTTTTACCACTCTTACAGTCCAGAACTGTGTTTTAAATTTTAAGTCTTAAAATCATCGGTAAGTAAGTTTAAAATCGGTTGTGAAAATTGTATAGAAGATAAAAGCGAATTGATAAAACGTGTTGAAAAAAAGACTTCCTTTCTATTTTGCTACATATTGACTTTAAGATATTTCAACATATTTGTTATATAAAGTATTATATAAGTGAAAACTTGTAAATGGCCTTCATTTTTGTTATAATTAAATTATTTTTGTAAAAAAAAGTTTTCCATGCAAATAAAAATTTTTATATAATGGCATATATGAACTGACTGCACCAATATTTGAGTATTTTCGTATCGAAAAATATAATTAAAGGAATTGGAAAGAATCTCGAATGTATTTTAATTTAGCCACGATATATCGTTTTCGCGAACGGCAATACAAATTCTTCTAATAACATAAGTATATAAAAGTTATCAATACATGTTCGCCTGGGACACTGTCTACATCATATTATCAAATGAAACATGGAAATACTTTTTATTTATCTGTACGAGTTTATTTATTATCATACCGATAGCTGTTTTTGTATGCCAAACGGTTCAATTATTAAATGGTCTATTGTAAATCAATAGATAAAATGCACACATTTTATAAAGGAACATATAGATTAGAATAGATAATTATTGACATAATTTTTTTATATGTCGTTTTTAAAGTGGAAATTTCTTTAGAATCTTTGCGATTTAAACTGAAAAGCGACACTAAAAAGAGAAAAACATATACACATCAATAGGATTTAGCCTGCGAAAGAATGAGATAGAATACAGTATAGTGTTTTCTGTTATCTCGTGAAGGTTTCACTTCTACCGCATATGGACTGTACAATTATGTTTTTAATTTCCCGATAAGAAAATTGAAGTGAAAATTGAGTTAATAAAAACGTTAAAATAAAGATATGTGTATAGCACCATTGACTTTGAAAGTCAATATGATAATTTTATATATTGTTTGTTTTCCAATACTGTTTCACATTAATTAGACAAATTCTATACATATAACTAAGTTTTCTCTCGTGTCATTCTATCCTGACGATCCTGGGGGACGCTAGCCTCCTCTCCTGTCGTAGCTTCACTATTTCAGATTTAACTATCCTGTAATAAACAAGGAAATTATTCGTTTTTTAATCATTTCTTCTTATATTACCGCGTGGAATAAAATTAATTTTACGGATTTCGAAAAGAAAACTATACTAATTAAAAATTGAAGGCAGCCATCGCTATGACATCAGAACGTCAAACACCTCAGTGACCGTAGGTTCTGTAACGCACCCGAAACGACAGCAATTAAAAAAGTTAAAATCAAACGCGATAAAATTCGTAAGATTAGTTTTATTCCTTTTGATTAAGTGGTCGGCGAGGGTAGCTATGATAAAAAATTTCGAACTATATTTTTATTCGATCGTTCGAAAACTCGATTGTTTTATATGAACATTTAACATTAACAGTTAATTTTATCACGGTTGCTTCTCTTTAACATTCATATTTATGCAGAATCAATAATTAATTCGTCTCGGCCATAAAACTTTAAACCTTTTTCTATAGAATAAAGGTGACTCACAAGCACACAGTGATGGTAAGTGGATGCTTGTGACCCACAGCCATATACATCTATCCTTGATGTAAGATGAGTTGTCACCCTTGAGGAGTAAGATGGTACGCCTTGTTTTCAGTAAAAGTGCCTCCGGTTTTCTACTTTCACCATACGAAACACATCAATATACTTTTATTTGACGTAGGTATTTTATGAGAGCGTGGCTCTTCGAACTACGAGCATAATATAGCTACAACACAGCCCTACCATGATAAAATCTTTTGTCTTGTAGTGTAAGTACCATATAAATTTTTCCTATAAATCGTCTTAAAGTTTAAATGGTTCTTCGAGCCAGAACGTTGTAAAATCTCAAGATTAAGATTGTTTCTAATTATTAATATGCATATTAGCGATAACATTAGCAACAGCAAACCTATGCCCAAATTTGCTCATCATTATCATCATATTTACTTCCATCCATCAACTACACCTTATAACCTGCTGTATATTATATCCTCTTCTGCCTTGGAAGAGCAGGAGAGAATATTATAATAGACGAGATGAACTCTACAGAAGTTAGTACATACGTGGTAGAGTCATGCTGCAAAAATACTATGCTTGTAGCACGAATGGCTCGGCTCTACCGGGGAATGACTCTCACAGTGTCAGCGTAAAATAGCAGTTTAATGCTGCTGTGTTTCGTATGGTGAGTGTAGAGAACCAGATACCCTTCCTACCGGGTACGAGGCATTCCACCTTAGTCTGCGGGGTAATAATTAATCGAGGATAAATGTAGATGTTTATAGGCCACAATATCCGCTTACCATCAGGTGGACTGTGCGCTCGTTTGTCACCGTTTAAAAAAAATAGTTACTTACCTGAGCAGCAGACAAAGTGCCAGGAAGTCGCAGGTGATGAGCATATAGAACACGTGGGACCAGCTGCCCGAGGACGACACCACGCCCGCTAACATCGGTCCTAAGGCCGCCCCTACAGTGATTATTCGAAAATTAAAACAAGAACTTTTAATGCAATTATTTTTCCAAAAGCAGAAATATCGATAAGTTTTTATTATCACATGGAATTTTTCTGCCAATAAATTAGTCTGGTACCACCACCTTCTTATTCTACTAATTAGAGTATACTAATTGTCCTTTAAAAGAACTTCTTTTGTCGACTCCGTGGCGCAGTGGCTTAGGAAGAGTTAGGGCGCTGAGAGCCACGGGTTCTAATTCAGCACGGAACAAGTATTTATATGGACTACAAGTTATTGTTACGGTCTGGATGTTTGTCCGTATGCAATTTATGTATGTAAACAGCCTCCATTATACAAGAGAAAATCTTAGTGTGGGGTTGAATTAATAAAAAATCTTCATCTATACCGTTAAGCACTAGTGTACCCGCCGTTGTGTCCTGATTTGAAAGCTCTATAAGATATACAAGGGTCGTTCTGACTTTGGATATTTCGTATTCCTGAGAGTTGTTGATTTACTTTTCTTTGTTTATTCTTTGTATTGGTGTTAGTTTTGTAGTTATAAATCCTTAAGTTTTTAGTTATTGTGTTGTTTCATATGTAATTAGTTAAAGTAAAATGGAGGAAAATTCTCCAGATCCCGACAAGGTGTGATTGTGTGACCACGTGACATCTATACTGTTCCCAAAAAAAAAAAAAATATTCCGAATATATTTAGTCAAAGCATTACTGCACTCTTAAGCTCCTTACTTATCCAACAGTTTGGTAACATTACTCCATCTACCACACACAGTACCACAATGCAAGTCCTGTCCCATCTTCAACCTTGAGCTTGGGGTTGAGAACACCAGTTGAGAAAGATTCCCCTATAGAAAATAATAAACTAAGTAGAGTCACAGATAAATTGTCTTTTGGAAAAATGGCTTACACTATTATTTTGTATACACTTATTCCTCCAAAAAGTCAAATGAAAATTACACTGGAGCATTAGTTTGGATCCCTAGATATAAAATAATTCTTAATTTTAAATGCCCTTCAATTTCTTCCATTTTTATTGGTGAGGCCACGGTAATTTATGTAGCTCTAATATAATATATATATATATATATATATATATATATATATATATATATATATATAGCAGCACTCAACTTAAATAAGTCAGTAATTCGTACCGACTCCAAACGTGGTTTGTTGTTTGGGATTAGTGCACGCAATTAAGGGAGGGCGGGAGGTGCTCTTCAAACTAGGTACACATCATTTTATTTTATTGAGCGGATATGTGCGAGGTAATTCTTACCAACTTTATTATAATAATTAAATAAAAAGCATATTGTTTTTCATTCGGCGATAAGACTATCATACGGCGGCGGCGGATTATGAAGCGTGACACCCAGCCCATTGTTTTAATTACCTCGTTGATAGAGCTATCGTTGTTTAATAATTGCAGTACATGACGGTGTATTTGATTGTAAGCTGCTGTTACACTATATTAGAATGATTTTGTCCGTGCAGTTTGGGTCATAAATCATGGAAGTATTTCGCTCTCTCTCCCACTCACGGGCCTTAGGGGCAAGCATAGTGATGCGCATTATTGTTGTCGATAAGCGTTATCGAGTGTATTTAGTTTTGTCATTAGTATTTATTAAAATAAGAATAATAATGATTGATGATGAATGAAATTATTAATTAGGTATATATATATCAAAAAAAACTATAAGTACAAATGTTTGGAATGTAACAAGTTAAATTAAAAATAAATATGAATATAAAGCTAATAACTTATATCTAAAATTAGAAATTGAGATTGAGAGCGAACGCGCAAAAATAAATTTCTCTTCGATATATGTACTAAATTATCATTGCACTAATTTGCAGATATTAGGTGGAGGTAATAATGGCAACTGACAAAGCAAATTTATGTTGCAGAAGTGAATGGAAGAGTCGGAAAGGATGTCCTAGGCGAAAGTTTGTCGACCAAATTAACAATATATTAAAAATGGGCCAAAATAAGAGTAACCGATCGACCGACCGACGAGCATGTATGGGTAGGTATATGGATGTAGAAGAGGCGAGAGAGGTGTGTCAGGATCGTGCTAAATGAAAGTCTGTAGTCTCTGCCTATCCTTCTGGGTGACAGGCGCGACTGTTTATGTATTATGTAATAATGGAAAACAAATTACTCATAACATAACAATGTCGCACCACCCTTTGTATATCATCGCACCACCGCCGTGAACCTTCCATTGTCGTTATCGATAATAGCGTTGCGCCCGCGCAACATGCTCACTGCCCTAGCCAGGCTAAAGCCGAGCTATGATTTATGACCCCGACTGCACGGACAAAATAATTTTACTATAGGCTTCTTTTCTTCAATCGATGAGATTGGGTAGGTGATAAGAATGATGACTTCACTGTTGAATTTAGGTAGCCATTCTGACCCTTTCAACCACAGAGAATGTCGAGACAGCTGTGTCATACCTCGAGTTGCACAATCCGCGGCATTGTCATCTGACTTCACGTGGCGCCATGATGTTGATGGTATGATCTCTAATATCTACTTTACTCTTACCCCAAGACCACCATGGAGTCAGTCCATGCCTTAATTTGAATATATTCGATATCTAATGAATTAACTGTTTTATTCATTAGCTGTGACAATAAAGCACCGAGCAATTCCATTTAGAAATTTCTTGATTTTATTAAACCAATATGTGTTCTTACTAAAAATCCTCTTGAGTTACTATATACGTTATGGACCAAGTGATAGAGTTTAAGTTTGATTAAGATTATTCGTAATGTCCAGACAGTTTGAAAAATGCTTAGTATGAGTCGGCAATATGATAAAAACTATTGGAATAGTTAAATTATAAAGTAAGTTTTATGAATAAAGTCTGTTACTTATTGAGTAGATTAATAAAAATATAGTACATATAATATAGTATATATTAATTTAGTATATAATAATGAAGTTTAAATAACTATTAATTACAAAGCCCGATTTGACTTATCATCATTCATATTGCCCAGGTATTACATATATGTTTTCTAAATTAGTAAGTATAACATATAAATAATATAGGTCCCAAAGTAGTCCCCTGCGGAACAACATAATATGTAATTGAATCATAAATATCATATTATATTTCTCCTCACCGATGCTGCCGGTGCCGTCAATGATGGCGGTGACAGTCGCCAATGCTTTTGAGTCTCCCGCCAGGCTGCTGTGTGTACCTGCGGGGAACAGAATTTGTCATCGCGATATAATAATCAAAAATATATAAATATCACGGCCATAAGCGACAACCTACGGGGAAAAAGGTTCTCGACGGATGAAGGTAGCTCAGAACCGTGCTTTGTGGCGTTCCTTGGGGTAGGCCTATGTTTAGCAGTGGACGTGTGGTATTCAGTTAGAACGTGGTTCTTTCCCGTAGGAGCCGACACATTCGTGCTACTACTGATCCGAGTTTTTCGAGCGAAACCTCCGCCGCAAAAGTTCTTGTTGACACACGAGCCTAAAGATTAAAGACTTGTACACACACGAGTGCACGTATGGTGTAGTTGTTGCCCATAAATCACTTTCAATATCGGATATGTAGAAATATACGTAGAAACAAATTTGTTTTTAAAAACTGCAAATAGTGAATGAAGTGTGGGTACAACATGTGTGTGTGTGTGTGTGTGTGTGTGTGTGTGTGTGTGTGTGTGTGTGTGTGTGTTGTGTGTGTGTGCGTGCGTGTACGTGTTCGTGCGAGTGCGTGCAGGTGTACCAACCCAGATCCGCGCTGACCGCGGTGGTGATGAGCGCGTAGGGCCCGTTCACAAGCGCGCCGCCTGCCACCAGCAGCGCCACGTTCAGCGCGTAAGACGCCGCGCCCCACCGCTGGTACGCCAGCAGCTGTGTATCACCACGCCACACCATTTTATTACTTTGTGCACTTTACAATCAACATATGTAAATCTGAACAATTATGGTATCCTTGCACTGTGCACTTTACAATAAACATAGTTAAACCTGAAAACTTATGGTGCCCATATGCAAGACCGAGACAAATGTATAAGTTCGTCTCAATCACGCTTTGTAAAGTAAAGTTGATATTCTCAACGCTCCTTGTATCAATTAAACTTAGTCTGAAATCTATAAATAAATCAGGAATCGATCGCTTAGTGGCGGTTTCGTTCATATTCTACCTTCTTTATCATTCGCCCATAAAATACCACCACCACTAAACGCAGACCGACCGCTGAATTCTCTTCGCCGCTACACGCGGCAATCCAACAAATTAGGCACCACATGTAGTTAAAGGAAGCATTTGAATAAATGGTAAAAAGCTAACACATTTTTAAACATCATATTTTTTATTTCTCTTATTTTCATTATTTCGTTGTCTGTGTGAGTGTGCGCGTGCTTATGTCTGTACGTGTGATGTCTGTGCGTGTGCGTGTGTGCCTGTACGTGTGTTGTGCATGCGAATGTTTTCATTATTTCGTTGTCTGTGTGAGTGTGCGCGTGCTTATGTCTGTACGTGTGATGTCTGTGCGTGTGCGTGTGTGCCTGTACGTGTGTTGTGCATGCGAATGTTTTCATTATTTCGTTGCCTGTGTGAGTGTGCGCGTGCTTATGTCTGTACGTGTGATGTCTGTGCGTGTGCGTGTGTGCCTGTACGTGTGTTGTGCATGCGAATGTTTTCATTATTTCGTTGCCTGTGTGAGTGTGCGCGTGCTTATGTCTGTACGTGTGATGTCTGTGCGTGTGCGTGTGTACCTGTACGTGTGTTGTGCATGCGAATGTTTTCATTATTTCGTTGTCTGTGTGAGTGTGCGCGTGCTTATGTCTGTACGTGTGATGTCTGTGCGTGTGCGTGTGTGCCTGTACGTGTGTTGTGCATGCGAATGTTTTCATTATTTCGTTGCCTGTGTGAGTGTGCGCGTGCTTATATCTGTACGTGTGATATCTGTGCGTGTGTGCCTGTACGTGTGTTGTGCATGCGAATGTTTTCATTATTTCGTTGCCTGTGTGAGTGTGCGCGTGCTTATGTCTGTACGTGTGATATCTGTGCGTGTGAGTGTGTGTCTGCACGTGTGTTGTGCATGCGTATGTACGTGCGTACCGCGGGCGCACAGAGCGCGTAGAAGGCGGCGCACACGAGCGCGGGGCAGCCGAGGCAGTCGGCTAGCAGGCCGGCCAGCACGGCGCCCGCCACGCCCCCCACGTCGAAAGCCGTCGACAGCTCACCGGACTCCTTCGGCGTCAGTGACGCTGCGTCCAAACACCTCTTTTTAATACGCAAACATCCTCACGTTCTACTACAAGCTAGACTAAAGGCCAGGCTACACGCTCAATATAACTTTTTCGTATAGAATAAGGGTGACAAACGAGCACATAGTCCACCTGATGTTAGGTGGATGCTGTGGCCCATAACCATCTACATTTATCATCGAATAAGAATAAAAATGCAGATTCGTTATCAGCTATGAGGATTAAGATGAAATTCCTCGTTTTTAGTAAAACAAGTCTCCGATTCTCTACACTCACCATATAAAACACAGCAGCTTTAAGCTGCTATTTCAAGCTGGTATTCCGTGAGAGCGTGGTTCTACCCTGGTCGAGCCGGCCTATTCATGCTACAATTAATACCTCTCCAACGTCTCTACCACGTCCAAAATTCACAAATTTTAATTTAAACAAATAAAAGCATGTACATTAAGATGGCAAAACGGTACCTAAGTAAGTGTACCTAAGGTTACACAAGCAAGCGTGTACGTGAAGACGGCGTGTGGACGTCACACATTTTCTTTGCGAAAACCTTGTACAAAATATTTGCGCATGTGAGACGCTATCGTGTGGACGTGCAGTGCACGATGCTGTTTGCGCAAATTTTTTGCACAGATTGCGCATGCAAGTCGCTGCTTGTAGCCGGAGCTTACTAGTAAGTTAAACTTGAGCAAAATTACAGGAACATTTAATAAAACAAACATTTCGAAATCAGAAAGAAATGTTTAAATAAAACTAATTTTAAGTTGGGTTACGGACCAAAAATTTATAATTTTAATCTATAGATAGCTGAGGTTAACTATGACACTGGGACGTCGAACACCTCAATTCCCCGTGACCATGGGCGCTTTAATGTTCTCGAAACGTCGGAAATATAAAACAAGTTAGTAAACGTAATAGAATTCGTAAAAACTAGTTCTAGCTAAATGTGTAGTGCTCGCGTAAACAAAAGAAATCATATCCTACATGGGCGGCGCCATTACTTCAGATTGGATAGACACAATTACTACGTGAGGCTATTTAAATTAAAAATAGAGTACTAGGCTCGGTACTACCACTCGCTTGAGATCCTGTAATTATTAAAATCAATACTCAACCCACGTATACCACTGCGAGACTTCAAGATACACTAAGCTCATTCTGCGCAGATCGGACTAAAATTAATAAATAAAAAAATGGTTGACTGTAATGTCGGTTTACGGACGACAGTTTAACGTGACAACGTTGCACGTTGCGCCCTCCTTTCTGCCAAGGAGGGTCGCGTCCGTATACGGCTTAGAGATCTCTCGTCAGATCGGTAAGCCAATCCATAAAGGCGGTGTTTAGTGGGTAAAAGTCTCCACATAACCACGCAGCCGGCTGCGTGGTATGCTATGAGCATTCACCGCCTCCCTCCCCCGCTTTCCAGAGGGTTGCCCATATTTGCTCCGGGCGCAAAAAAAAGTGACAACGTCATAACAAAACATTGCAAGCCGAACGCTCAAGTCGATCGTGCCTTTCGCTCGTTCGTGCCGCGCTCTCGCTCCGATCGTGCTCGGCTAGGCTGTAGCGTAACGGGACAATGAGTCATCTTTTTTCATGCATGAAGCCGGCGTTCATCGATTTATTAGACGTTGTCACATCAAAAACTAAAGATACTCCGCGTTAACTTTGACAGATACTGCGCGTTAACTTTGACAGATACTCCGCGTTAACTTTGACAGATACTCCGCGTTAACTTTGACAGATACTCCGCGTTAACTTTGACGTCAATTACCTCAGTCCCCCGTGACAATGGGTGCTGCAAAGCACCTTAAACGTCGGGAATTCTTACTTACTTACTTATCTTCACGCACAATCCCTAACGGGGTAGCCAGAGAGAACAGATCGCCAAGTGTCACGATCCTTACATACCTCTTTCGCTTCTTTCAGGTTCATTAACTTCTTCATACATGCACGTCTAGGTATCCGAGTACTCTTGACCCTCCCCTCTTCGAGCAATTTGCTCACATGGTCTTCGAAAGTTAGTCTCGGTCTACCTCGACACCTTTTAATATTTACTTTCGCTCTCTCGCTATTTACTCGCTCTATATATTTTCTTCACCATTCGGTCTTCACTCATTCGTTCAACGTGCCCATTGGAGTACGCCCCTATCAATTTTTGTGATAAGGTCATCTTTCAATCCTGCCATATTGCGAATCTCTTCGTTTCGCTTTCGGTCGGCTATGGTAACGCCACACATTTTACGAAGAGATCGCATCTCCACTGCATTCAACTTGCTTTTATGCTTCTTCTGACATACCCAGGTTTCGCTGCCATATAACAAAGTCGGTACCAACACTGCGTTATGTATTGCAAGGCGTGCACTCTTCACCACGCCTTGCCTTTTTACTAATGCATTCAGGGCACCATTGACTTTGTTTCCGGCAGCGACACGCCTGTCCACATCTAAATCACATCTTCCATCCCGGCTGAAAGCACTCCCCAAGTATACAATTTCATTTACCTGTTCTAGACATTCCTGATTTACCCATATTTCACATTTCGTTCTCTCTTCGTCCTTTTCAAATACCAGAACCTTAGTTTTATTAGCATTCAAACGGAGACCTTTAATTTCACATTCCTCTTTCATACACGTGACTAATGCCTGCAGTTCTGCTTCTGATGGTGCAATAAGCACTGCATCATCAGCATACAGCAGACAATTAACTTTTATGTCACCCAATTTCACACCCAAACAGTTATTTTTCAGCTTCTGTAAACAGCTGTCGAGATACAGTATGAACAGCCAGGAAGACATGACACAACCCTGTTTTACGCCCGCTTGGACGCTAAACATGGGTGACAGGTCATGCCCTACCCGCACACAGGCTTTACAGTCATAGTAAAGTGACTGCACAGCCCACAATCGACTATCCACACCATATCCCGGCAACAGTTCCCACATTTTCTTCCATATAACCTTATCAAATGCTTTCTTCAGATCCACAAAAGCACAGAAAATCCTCTGGTTAACACTCAGAAGCTTCTCCGTGATCATGCGGAGAGAAAACATTTGATCCGTGCATCCTCTTCCAGGTCTAAATCCGCATTGTGCCTCCCATAAGAATCTTTCCGATTTCTCTTGCATCCTATGTGTCAAAACCTTCGAGTAAACTTTACTTGCTAAACTGGTCGGATCGCCCGATAGCACCCGCAGTCAAAATGTGAACCTTTATATAAAGGCACAATGACCGCGGATTGCCAATCATCCGGGACATCTCCCGTCCGCCAGCACAAATTGAACAGCAGATGAAAGCTGTCCCAGACGCGAGACCCACCGTACTTGACCATTTCAGCAGTAATTTTGTCTAGTCCCGCAGCCTTACCACATTTCAAACTTCGAATCGCACGTTCAATCTCTTTCATGCTGATGACCTCAGTGTCATCGAGGTCCGTATCTGGCGTGCCAGTCACGGCGTCACCCCCGGATCCTTCACTAAGATCATGACACGCATACATTTCTCTATAAAATTCACTCCATCGCTGCATGACGTCCGATTTTTCTGTGAGGACGTCATTGGTTCTCGAAAGCACTTTGTTCATTCTTAAGGCTGTCGCACCACTCCGGGACCTTCCAACCTCTTTCCAGAAGAGTTTGGAGTTTTCCCTAAAGTTGTGCGACAACCTCTCGTCCGCTTCTATTCTACACCTTTCACGTACTTCCTCAATCAATGTTTTCGCATGAACTTTCTGCAGCTTATATCTTTCTTTCATCTTCTCTCTCATATGCTCATCGTTATTAGAGGCCAAGTAGTCTAACCATGCCTTTTTCTTCTTTTTTACAGCTTCTCTCACTTCATCATTCCACCATGCATCTCTTCTTTTACTACTACCTCTTTTTGTCGTACCACATACTTCTTCCGCTGCACTTACCATTCCATCCCTAAGGTTCTGCCATGTTCTCTCCACACATTCTTTCCTGCCATCGATGGTGTCAAGCTTTTCGGCTACCCTCGTGTGATATTTGTCCCTAGTATCCGCTTCCTGAAGCTTCCAGCTTCGGATGCGACAGACCGACTGTGGTTCTGTTACTGTCGTCCGGTAGCGCCAACCCGCGAACAAACCCCTAAATCTAGTAATTACTAGATAATGATCCGTTCCCAGGTCAGCACCCCTGAACACTCGTGTATCCATCACCTGTTTTCGCAGTCGGTCATCCACCAGGAACAAATCAATCATACTTCTCTCATTCTTTCTTTCTCTAGTGTACATATGGATTTTCCCGTGATTAAACATAGTGTTTGTCACAAGAAGACCCTTTTCCTTGCATACAGCCAGTATAAGCTTGCCAGCATCATTAACCCTTTTATCGCCAAACTTTCCAAGCACCGACTCGTATCCTGGTCGAGCGATACCTACCCATCCATTCAAATCACTACATACAACAGTTATTTCGTTTCCCTTAACCAAATCTAGAACTTCTCTTATATTCTCCCAAAACTCCTCCAGCTCAGCCCTGGACGACGAAGCTACCGGCGCATGAACAGCCAAAAGGAATAAATTCGTCAGTCCCATTTTGAAGCGAACCCAGAGAAGTCTTGAGTTCACAACCTTGTATTCAGTCTTAAGATCGACCAACCGGGACGACAACAGCACTCCCACTCCCTGGCAGGCGTTATCGCTTTCCGGGACTCCGGACCATATAGCTAACGTCCCGCCAGGGAGCTCTTCAGTACCACTGCCTTTCCGTTTGGTCTCCGACATACACACGACATCTAATTCTCTTTCTTTCATTATTTCGATCAACTCATTCGTCTTATCTCTCATGCCCCCTCTAACATTCCACGTGCCAACTCTGCACTCCGTCCTCCACCTTCCGCCGTGTCGGGCTGTGCGTGACGGGTGGCGGTCCCCATCGCCGCTTTGCGCGCTGCATTCCACACCAACGGGGACGAGCTGGTGTGCGTCGCCTTGGGGGGACGCCCTAACCCTCGTTTGCATGGGTGCGCAGCTGTGTAGAATTGCAGCCCTGAAAAGGGCTGGCAGGGGTCGCGACGAGCACGCTTCTACAATGACATGGGAATCTAAATAATTAAAATTAAACGCGATAAAATCAGTAAAAATAGTTTTATTCAAAGTAAAAAGTTAAGTTATAGTCTATGTGCGTCCTATTTTTCCTCTTCTTATTTCGGAGAGGATTTTAGAGCACGTATGTGTCCACCGCGATGCCCCAATACGTGTTTGCGGATTTCACATGTCTTCGAAATATTTCTATAATTACTCAAACACGTATCAACTTGCAATAATTTTACGCTCACCCGGTGTCGCTAGTTCGCACTAACGTAAAGATATTTGTAGCGCAGATGGTCACACAGTGTCAAAACGGAAAAACACATAATTAAGTTGTCATTTAATTATGAGTTTTTCCGTTTTTAATACATGTATACATATAAAACAATGCAGTGCTGTATTCTTTAATTTTTTACACACTAATAAATTTTTACTTTTTTTTTAAATTATTTTAGGAATATCCGTAGTTGGGTTCATCCGTTTTAATCTAATTATTAAAAAATATAACTAACATTTCAGAAATAAACATTAAACTCTGCACTTTTCCAACAATTGAACTTCTCTCGTTACGCAATCTGTCATATATTTCACCTTTTTCTTTTACTTTTTTTATAAGCCAGTGCTTGAGCACAATCCCACGGTGGTCAGTGGTGATGCAGCCTTAGATGGTAAATCGCACTGTCTTAGCGTAACAAAAGCCTGTTCACTCTTGCCTTGAAGATTAAGCCTAGATTGCCTAGATTGTATTCGGATGGAAAGACAGACGCCGGCAAATTATTTCACTCCTTTGCTGTACGCATTAAAAAAAGTCGAAGTAAAACTGTTTGGTTCTAATGTGGTGAATATCGACAAGAAAGGGGTGAAGACCCACCGACCGGCTGGTCGTCCGATGGTAGAAAGGAGAAGTAGGAATTAAAGCGTGCAATTCCTGCGCACACTCTCCGAAATGTATTCTATAGAATATCGAGAGGCTAACAACTTTGCGCCCATGCTCGAGGCTGACAAGGTTGGTTTCAACCAAATCAAGGTCACTGATGAGTCTGAACACGTCTCTGCGCTGAGTCCAACGCTGCCAGTTAATATTTTGCAGCACCAACCCATATGTGACAGCAGTACTCCATGCACGAGCGGACTTGTGCTTTATATAAGGTAAGAAGCTGTCCCAGCTTGAAGTACCAGCGCACCCTTGCAAAAACACCAAGTTTCCTTGCAGCTGCTTTGGCTCTGGGCTCTATCAATCGCCCATAGTTGAGGTTCGGAGAAAATTTAACCCCTAAAAACTGAATTCGATAGGTGTACTCCAAGGATACATTCCGGAAAGTAGGAGCCAGGGTGAGCGGGCTCCTTTTAGCGGTAAAAAGACACGCATGTGTTTTGGAGGCTTTGAATCTCACGAGATTGGCATCACCCCATTCAGAGACTGCCTGTAGTGTGAGATTCACACCCTCAACCATAGCCTTTCTTTCGGACCGGATTTGATTCCGACTGGCCCGGACACTTGATTGGTATCTCTTCACAACTGTGCTATTGTCTGCGTAACCATAGATACCGAGTACTAGCAGATCATTAACATGCAGCAGGAAGAGAGTTGCGGAGAGAGCAGACTCTTGAGGAACATCGGCGTTAAACGTCTCAGGATCGGATGAGCAGCCATCGACGACTACCCGGAGAGACCGTTTACTCAGAAAGTCCTTTATCCATTCAATCAGAACAGGAGATAAGTCGTAAGCTTACCCAAAAGGCTAACGTGCCAAACTCTGTCAAAGGCTTTCGAGACATCAAGGGAAACAACAAGTACTTTCCCAATATTCCCGAGTGCCTCGCCCCATACGTGTATGGCATACACTAGAAACTGACCGATTTCGCCGAACACCGTATTGCCGGTCACTAAGTAGGTCATTTTATTCTAGGTGTGCCATTAAGCGGGGGTTCAATATACGCTCCAATCTTGCAGAGTATGGAGGTAATTGAAATTGGGCGGTAATTATCAGTGTCGGCACAGCTACTTTTTAGCCACAGGCTGCACGTTGACCAGCTTCCAGAATTTGGGCACTATTCCCGCCCTGAATGAGAGGCGGAACAAGCAACAAATAAGTCGGCTCGACCGGGGAAGGACCACGCTCTCACAGAGCACCAGGTTAAAATAGTAACACAATATTGCTCTGTTTTGTATGCTAAGTGTAGAGAACCGGAGACCCTTTTTACTGGAAATGAGGCGTTCCATCTTAGTCCTCAGGTGTGACAACGCATCTGTATTTTGATTCTTAACTGTAAATGTAGATTTCTATGGGCCAGAGCAATCACTAACACTCAGGTGGACTGCGTGCTATCTATGACAAGCGAACTTTTATTTTTTATAAGACTGAAGTGAGGAACGAACCATCAGTCTGCCTAAGTAATAATAATAAAATAATCGTTTACTTCCAATTACAATGGCTTACATATTTTTAAGCTATTGCATAGCTTCTATCGCGGGCCTTGAGCGCGGGGACCGAATCCAGAAATTCCGTAACGAAAAAAAACCTCACGCTCCCCACTCCGACGGGCACGGAGGTGTGGCGTTGAAAGCCGTGCATCGTCTAACGTCGTTTCAGTTCGGCAGACTTCGGCACTCGGCAGACCGACCATTCGGCACGGTGTTTGTGTGCGTGCGACTAGACGTATGCGTGTACACTAGCTGCTCACTCAATGATAAAAATTCCTGAATAACCTACATGTATTGTAAGATATTAAAAATATTTTAAACAATATTAACTTCTCATTTATTCAATAAGAAAAAAATATTATTTTCTTATCGGTCACCACGCTCAAAAAGTGTAACTTGATTTAATATCAAAGACTTAACTGCATAAATAAAATAAATAAATAATTATAATTGCATAAGTTGATAAAAAAATGCTATGCAATAGCTTTACCGCGGCAGTCACCGAGTGCCACACGTATTTTTTTATAGGATAAAGTGACAAACAAACACTCAGTCCACCTGATGGTAAGTGGTTGCTGTGGCCCATAGACATCTACATCTATTCTCGATTACAAATCAAAATGCAGATGCGTTGTCACCCGTGAGGACTAAGATGGAATGCCTCGTTTCCAGTAATAAGAGTCTCCGGTTCTCTACACTCACCATACGAAACACAACAACATTAAGCCGCTATTTTACGCTGGTATTCAGTCAGAGCATGGTCCTTCCCCGGTCGAACCGACCCATTCGTGCTACAACTATACAACTACAATATAACATATAACTGCAGCACGGCTCCACCACGTAGAAAATATCCTCCTATCCAAAAGTACTCCTAGCCAGAAAAGAAGTTCTAGGACCAAGAGCACAGTCTACCTTCCATACGGTTCACCACTGCGCGATTAACTAGGCGTTTCTTCCCTCGCACGAATTCTATGTCAAATCGTTTTTCTTACCGACTTCAAAAAGGAGAACTTATTCAATTCGACTGTATTTTTTATGTATGTTACCTCAGAACTTTTCTCTGAGTGAACCAATTTTGATGATTCTTTTTTTTTATAAAAAGCTGGGGTGCTTAGCGTGTGTGTGTGTGTGTGTATAAATTTGATCAAGATCTGACCAGTAGTTTTTGAGTTATTTAATTATGAAACTGGAATAAGACGAATGCCTCGTTTCCAGTACAAAGGGTCCCGGGTTCTCTACACTCTCCTTACGAAACACAGCATCATTAATCTGTTATTTTACACTGGCATTCTGTGTTTTATATTTTTTTAAACTTTTATTGGTATTTACTGTAGTTATTTCTAATTCATTACTTATTATTGTATTACAACGTACTTAAAGAAACAAAAAATTCTACAGTGTCTTTAGACAAGATACTTACTTGACGTGTTGATGTAGAGTGGAAGCCAATAGAGAAAAGTGTAGCTGACTAGCTTCGCGAAGAAGAGGGAGAGGGAGAACTCGAGCACTCCTGGGATAGCGAGGGCGCGGGTGAGTGACACTGCGCCCCCCTCGCGACCTGACGACCTCCTCAGCAGCGACGTGCTCTCATCCGCTTCATCAGACTGAGGCTGGGTTAATAATAGCTTATTAGGATTTTTCATCATGGCAATAGACGTAGTATTATTGTTAAAAAAAAACTCCCACGCCTGGTACCTAGAGAAGTAGACAGGCAGACTACTTCCATTTGGCATCCTATCACAACGCTCTCGCTCGCTTTGACATCCTAACTCATACAAGGTCGTCGGTTACTCTTAATTTGCCATCCTCAATATTTCAACCTTTGTCGACTGTGCCGCTTAATGTTAACAAGCATGAATAAATGGTTAGTTAGGCGTTTGATGATATTAATGATATCTTCTAGATCGGTTTACGACGGCGACATTTTTGAATAAAAGATGTCGCCGAGGTCGAAACCGGCCAGAAGGATGTCAAATGTCACTTGTGTGCTGAAATAATGATACATTAGTATTTGAGATACATAAGAGAGGAAGGTCTTTTTAAAGTAACTTGGAGCACATGCATCAACAACGATGGGATAAGCAAATACGTTCAGAAATGAGGGATAGGTTGTTAGAGGTATTGTTAGTGGGTTATTTGTTATGAGATGATGAAAGCATTGAAATAAAACTAGTTTTTATTGATTTTTATTCGTACAATAAAATCTGCGTAAAAGAACACAGCTGATTTGTAGAATCGACACTCCGGATAGTGTACAGTCTGGGAACACGTACAGACACATCCTAATTTAGTTAATCTAATAGAGAAAATGTTGGGTGCTACCATCTGCTTGGGATCCTACATTTAATAAAATTAAATCCCAACCTAAGTATACAACTGCAAGACTTCAAGATACGACGTTCCAACGTCATATTAAACCACGGCTACCTTCAGATTAAAATTATTAATTTTTGGCCTGATCTACGCAGTATGAACTTGTAGTATCTTTTTATTTCTTTACTAAGAAATAAAAATACTGTAATATAAAATAAATATAATATAAAAATAAATATTAATAATTTTAATCTGAAGGTAGCCGAAGGTAGTCGTTGGGACTTCGAACCCTAGGTTGACCATGACCATGGGTATTTTAAAGTACTCGAAACGTAATAAATAAAAAATAAGTCAATATACGCGATATAATCCGTAAAAACTAGTTTTATTTAAATATGTAGTGTTCACGTAAGCATAAGAAATCGTTATGATCAAAGCTATAAGGGTCGATTTCGGCACAAAAATATAAGTCTGTATACTCTGTGTAGGAAGTGCATAATATATAATCCCCCATCAGTGCAGCAAACACAGATAGACTAACCTGACCTAATATAGAAAGAAAGAAAGTAATACGTTTATTTGGCACGCACATTATACAAAAAAAAAAACATTGTAAGAATTCAATTATCTGATGTAATGCTCAGAGCCTTAGATGCAACGCCATGGAATTGGAAATCCAATAATGTGTCACCTAACACGAATAATGACGAGCTAAAATGGAAGTTACTAATACGAGCCGTTTTGCAATAAGTGAAGTGCATGAAAACCCCTTTTTAAAACAAAATACCACCTCAACTATTTATGAATAGTTTACCTAGTTTTTTTTTTAATTTATTTTAAGTCAACCCGAGTTGCTGAATGAATAGTTTGTAATATGTATAAACTCTGTTACGTGCACCTCGTTTGTGTAAAACTGATCGTTACGGAGAACGAAACGTTTCCGGCATAAATCGTCAAAGCACAGCAATGTATTGATAACCATGCTGTGCCTAAATAACCGAGCTAAGCAGAAAGAAAAAAAATGCTGCTCGGGCTAATTATACATATGAAAAATTGATTTCCCAGTTTTATTCTCGAAAACTGGATCGATTAACACGGAATAACATAAGGATAGAGTGATAATGTATTATCAAACACGAATATTGATTTTCTGCTTAGAATTAAAGTTACTTAGTCTTGAAAAAAAATACACTTTCAAAGACAACAAAATTTTAAAAAGGCAGAGTCTACAAAGTTTAATGGAAAACTGCAAAATGGTATAGTTTATCCAATAGTACAATTATAAAACATTTTGAAGAATGGCCTTTGCGGAGCGCCAATACAAGAGCATAATTAAAACTGAACGTAAGTGTGCGTTAGTGGTATTTTTTTACTTTCGCTGTTACACACACACACACACACACACGCGTTAAAGTGTTGCAATCATTAGACGTTTTACCCAAAAGCAGGGAAATAATTTTTCAAAATTCAAAATACAAAAATCCAATATTTCTACTAACAATTACGTTTAAGCTTTAACGTGTTATTATTCTGTGATTTTAATAATGAATATCTGACATTATACGGTCCTTGTGCAATTTACGTATATAAAATCTGTCTTAGAAAACATCATAAAATCCTAGTGTGTAAATAACGTTTTGAAAGATAAGTTAAAAGTAATTGAATGAATAAAACAACCACAGAACATACAGAAAGAAAAAGGTCTTAACATCATAATCCATAGATATAATAGAAGATGTCTTGAGTGGATAATTCATCTATATGCGTAGAAATCTCCAATTTGGACAGTAGCTATCGTCTGCTGGGAAAGGATTCCAAGGTGAGCCTTAAAGCCAGTTAAATAAAAAAAAATAAAAAATGTTAAGTACCTATGGAGTTTGACAGCAAATGTCAAATTTTGCGCAGACTGGCGACGCAGCTAAAGAGACTTCTTTAGTTAGGATCCTGTTTGTAGCATAGTTTATGCCCAATGAGGACATCAACGACATTTTTATTTTGCCACCAGGCCGGCGTGCCTTAGGAATGAGGTGAAATATTTAACAGATTACAAGGCGGGCAATTTGATTTGTTAATAAAATGTACGGTTTAATCTTTCTTTCTGTAATATTATTTACATTTTATTTAAATTAGAATAGAAATGAACAAATCAAACTACGGATATTCCTAAAAAAATAGAATTAAAAAATATGAAAAATGTTAAGGAGCAAACCACTGAGGTAATATGTGTATTTATTTAATACTCTAGAAACCGATAAAATTTTATGTACAACACAACTTTTCAATTAAACGACATTATGTAACAAAATTTTCACCTCAATACCAACTAGCGACATCTGTTGAACGGTAGATGATTAGCTTTCATTGTAGGGTGTTTCCCAAGCACTTTATAATAATAAATGCTAAATGACATGTACGTTAAATGCTGTTGATATTACACTGGTTTAATAATTGACTAGCAACCTGGCCTGGCTTCGCCTGAGTAGAATATAGTTCATATACTTTACGATTTTTTTAGTATTTTTTTAAATAAATCTTGTCGGATAAAGTACATCCTAGATCCGTCCTGGAATGGCTCTCTATCTGCTCGTAAAGTTTCATCTCAACCGGTTCAGCCGCTCCGAAGTTTAACACGAACGACAGACAGACCGATAAACGTTATTAAAATGTTTATTTATGTCTTAACAGCGTGTAACTAAACCCCTGAACGCCAATATATAATAAAAATAAAATGAAGCCAAATACTTCAATATTGTAGACACAGACTTAAGCTAAGTAGACATAAAAAATAAGGCTTTATATAGATGTACGATAGTTCGTACACCAGTACTATAATCACTAAACTCAATCCATCACCAATTATATCACTAAACTACTTTTTGTAATAAGGTTTTATATTCATACATTTGCATAGCGGTCACAGTATTACAAATAAATGAATGATACTAAGGATAATCTTTTACCTGTGAACATTGAGATCCAGTAAGATACCCCTTCACCTCATTATATCCAGCAGCAAAAGCAGACTAGAAACACTTAAAATCGCATGGCTCTTAACAGATATGATACATCATAATCAAACTGGACCCACAGTACCCGGACCGGTGGTGATTCAGTTAGATTATACGTGGTAGAGCCACGCTTCAGCTACATTATGGTTGTAGCAGGACCGGGGAAAGACCACGCACTTACACAATACCAGCGCGAAATAGCAGTAAGCCAAGCCATGCGCACTTTTGATCGTACAATACCTACCTTACGTCCGCCAAGCAGTGATCTAATTTGATCAGAATTATGTAAACGTGTGTACCTATGAAAAAACTATTTTTTCGTTTTAAACAAAACCAAAGACACTATGCAATAGATAATAGTATCAAAGACAAAGATATGCTCTTTTATTTTAAACCATAACCTGGCAATGTTTCTTAGAAAAAAAAAAAGAAATCACTCTGAACTTTCGGCGTTCCACGTGTCGTTTTGATGAAGGTGCTCCGTCTTTTTTTATAGAATTTTATATTTGTGTCTGGACTAAAAACGAAAGTATTATACTTTTTTTATATTCCTTGTAATATAGTGAACACATATATATATATATAATTTGTGGTATAAAAAGTGAAAAGTAAATTGCCAAAAGTGCTTCAAAATCTGGAAGGCCCATTATGGCGGCTGGGTCATAAATGTGTTATTTTTCAAATTCTCATTTATTTTTAGTGTAAAATGTAAGTAAAAATAGTTTTCTTACATATTTCAAATAACTTGACGTTGTATTTATTTCAAATTCACACAAAACTATTTTAGAAATATTGTTCTAAATGTCACACAGATAAAATATTATTTTTTTTTTATTTTTTTTATATTTTAATATTTTGGTATGAGTAACGAATGGAAACACATAAAACATAAAAATATACATATTTCCAAACATTTTCATATAAATTTCTCTAAAAACAAAAGTGTAGAATTCAAATTAGTAGTAATTTTGTCACTAAAATTGAAGTATATACCACTATACAGCTATACAGGGTAATTTACGTATTTTATTACAATTTCTAGCAACCAAAAAATAATTTTATTCGATAGTTTATACATTCAACAAGAATTCCTGTAAGTTTTATCCATAAATATTGTCTCAAAGTGAAAATATAGCAAAATTTGCTAATTTTCAAATTTTCCCGCCATTACGGTCCCGAGCGAACGGGAGTATAACATGTCGCGCGCTCGCTTGGCGAACAGGTTGCTGCTACGTTTCGTATAGTGAGTGTTGGGAAATAAAAGCATTCCATCTCAGTCCTCAAGGGTG